AAAGACTTGATTCTCTGTAAGAGAAACCCTGTACTGAGACAACACAGATCTGATTGCCTCTGCTGTCCCCTAAGTGTTTATTTAATGAGTCTGCAACCTCCATCATTCCTGTGAATACTGGTTTCTTATGACTCAGAGATGATTACTGCGCTTTTTAAATGATGGCTACTGTGCTTTTTAAATGATGGCTATTACCCAGAATGTTAAGAAAAATATGAAGAATAATTTATTTTGTGGTCATTAAAGTTACCTTCAGAAATTTATATCATGATATACATGTACTGCTTTCCTAGCTGTGACTCCTCTTGGACTCCTTATGTATGTAATATGCATTTCTAGGATGTATTCTCCTTCCATACTCTCTACACCCCTACCTTCCACACGCCCCCACCTATGGGCCAAATAGATGAGCAGAATCAGAAGAGCCCAATTGTACAAGGTATTTCTGTCCAGTTTAAGACTGACTCAAAACAGTAGGAAATCACCTCATAGACTGGAGGCATAAGAGCTACTGAAATGTTCTCAAAAGCACTTGTAGTGTAGGGGTCAGGTTGGTCCTCCCCAGAGGACTATGGAACATGTGCAGTGGAGTGAAGTGCCCAGCAGTGCACCTAGAGTGAAATTCACTTTCATCTCCCTGTGGCCCTGGGGTGCTGTAGAAGGGAGGTGCACAGCCCTGAAGCTCAGGTGCACAGATGTGCTTAAGCTCTAGGGTAAGGGGGCCCTCTAATAGCCTAGGGCCCAGACATACTGTGTCTCTTTCCAACATTCTTTCAACTCAACCATGGGGGAAAAAAATCCACAATGATGACCAGCAGAAAAGATCTCAGGAGGACCTTTCCAGAGGCTTGAGTCTCAGAACAATCCATGGTAACCTGTTGAATCCCCGTGTGTGTGTGGGGGGGTGGGTGGGTGAAGCATCCCCTAAACAGAGATACAGGAACAGCACCCACAGTGGCCCCTACCTCTTGGATGGTTCTGCCATCCTAGTTGGTCTTGGAAAGAAATTTAGAAAGTTTCTAGAATGGTGCTTCCTACATTAGACACACATGGGATATGGGCCATGGCCAGGCACCCCAGGACTCTGAGCCTGGCTGGCCTTAGGCTGACAGAAGGCAACTTAGGAAATTTTCAGGAAGGATCTCAAAGCTGAAACCTCCTGGGCTTGGGTCTCAGGGTGTAATATACTGAGGTTATTATCAGCATGCAGAATGCTTCTGACTTTCTTAGGACATGTCTTGTTAGCATCTTCAGATGAAATAACTTCTCCAAGGATGCAGCACATTCCTACTCTAAAAACAGACTAAAAACGACTGAACCTGGCTGCTCTCCATCTATGGCTATGCATGTGTTTCTCTTCACCAACCTTCTCCCTTTGTAAAGCACCGGAGGCAGCTCTCCTCCCAAGGCTGCAGCCTGTGACTATGCTGGCCTCTCGTTTAACAAAAGTGTCATTTCAGGGACAGCTCTTTCTGCCGGCTTGTGTCTGTGCAGGCATCCTTTTCCTTTTTATAGTAAACCTGCCCTTTTGGATTAAAAAAAAAAAAGACTGAAACTATGAATATACCAACTCATCTTAAATTTTTTTGGGGGGTTAAGATGGGGTTATTATATTGTTTCCTGTTTTTAGGGAGTCAGTTGGGACTTCATCAACCCAGAGCATGGGATTGGCTTGGAAAAGTCTGGGTGTGCTGGAGGAAGGACTTCCGTATTACTGATGAGTGTAACGTGAGGATGACTATGATTCTTCTATTGCCCTGTGCTAGCTAGAGCTCACATTCTGCTAGTGCCCTTCGGATAATTCTTACTTGGTAACTAACCCTCAAGAATCCTGGTGAGGACAACAGGAACACGCAGAAAATCATGATGTACTATAGCTATTCTGCATCGTTTTTGACACTTGGGTTTCTTCTTGAGGATGGATATCAACCCACACATTGCTTGACCATCTACAGAATAGTCTGTTTTGAGTTGCCTGGATTATTCCATCAGCCTTCTTCATGTTTGGTTAGCAGCCTCTCTTGTCCTCTCAGGGGCCAGATAATTTGAAAATGCTATCTATTTATGTCTTTCCACTTGTCACATTAATGGTCTTAAATTGCCCTTTATTTCCTCTCTCTGACTTTCTCCACACTTGCCTACTGACCTTGACACATGCTGTTTGTGCCACATGGAATATTCTACCACCCCCTTGTTCCCATTAGCCTGGCTAATGTAGACTTATGTTTTATGCCTCAACTTAAGTTTCACTTTCTCATAGAAGCTATCTCATCCCTAAGTTGTCTTTCTTATTATTAAACGAATCACACTTTATTATTGTTGCTTTTTTTATGTGTCTCTATTTATCATCAGAATGCAAATTTTGTTAGAGTAATGACTGTACCTGCCCTATATACCATTGTAAATACTTTGTGTAGCAGAAAAATTAGTAGAGAATTGTTGATGAATGAGCAAATTATATGCTTGCAATTTGACAAAAGTAAGCACTGTGTTTGCCTCATATTACAGATAACTTGAGGCTTACCAGTTAGCAGCTGTTCAAATGCTACCATTTTCCTTTTTGGAAACCTCAGAAGAAAATGTCTTTGTGTCATGAAGCTTCAATGTTTGTTATGACAATTATCTTGGTGGTCACTTCTGTAGAATTGGGGAGGGAGCCAGGATGTATTATAAAAGCATAGGAAAGTGAGTGTGCAGTCTTCAGGGGTGTCTGTTTAATGGTGGCATCTGCTGTGCCTCAGTTATCATCTTTTACATTTGCCTCAGCTGAGTCACAACTTGGTCCCATCTCAGCAATTCTTAATATCCTTGTCTGCACCATGAAGAGTCACCAGGACCTGCCCCCTCAAATACAAAACTAATGCCTCCTAATTTACTCACTCTCCCTTGGCACTTCTCCACCAAAGAAAAACCACAGACTACGCAGTTTTGTTCTGGAATCAATAGCTCACAGGGCATGAAATTCATGGAAAAGTTTGATTCTGTATCTTTTGGGTGAATTCATGTGGTTGATACCTTAAAATTTGTTATTTGTAATATAATAAGACGATATTTTTCATGTTTTCTGTTGACAACAAAGCTGTCAAGTAAGAGTAAATATCATATTGTTCTCCTGGCTCCTATGAAAATATCTCAGGAAAATAAGTATCTTGTTTCTTTCAATTTAACAGCCCTAACACCTTTATTATAAATATACCTATCTATACATCCATTCTGGAAGGATTTTATACAAATACTAACAGGGTTCCAAAAGTCATAGGAAATTCCTCCAAGCCCTTCCCATTACAACTGTTGGGATCTAGGACTGTCGAGAGGACAGAACAGCACTCTGAAGATGGTCAAAGCAGAGCAGCTAATGCCTGAGCACTGCATTTTTATCACATATAACAAGAAAACTACAAATATTTAGCTGGTCTCAGTTTCTTCCAGCTCTTAAATTTTAGTCTAAAGGAACATATAAGAATCAAAGCACAGTGTAACTCAGAAGTCCCAGTACCCTTCAATACTAAAACAATTAAGCATACAAGACAAAGGGAAAATCAAGTGCTCTCAAAGGAGGATTAGGCCCCAAGGATAGAAAAGTATCAGTTTATACCCCCAGCTGAATTTGAGATAGGGCGGTATTAACACTATCAGGAACAGTAATTCTATAAGAAGCAAGATCTGCAAAGGTAGCTAGACTTGGAAGGTTGGTCAACCACCCAGTAAGGTACATATAGGTCATTTAAGGTCAAAAGTGTCCATGTGGCATCCACGGTGGACCCTTCGATGATTAGTAAAAATTGTTCCCTTGATGTTTCCTAACAGTTGCAATTGAGGGGCAATTCTAGCCAGTTCACATGCTTTGTTGGGTTCACACAGTGGGTTTTGTTTTTAAATCCAGATGTCTATTCTGCCAAGGGAGCTGAGCAGCTGGTTCCTTCCATTGGGTCATGGGTCATGTGTTGGCCACTGTTGTTTTCACTTCTGTTTTCTTATCCCAACCTCCCCCCCCCCCGCCTTATTCATTATTATTATATCACCTGCCTCTTTCTCTATAAACACCATCCTTCCCATCCAACTCTACCTACTCAAGTTCTACTCATCATTCATGGTACATTTCATATGACAACTCTCTTTCCTGTTGCCCAAATCAGATGTAAGTTCTTTCTCTTTTGAATATTCATTGAATTTCTTACACTTCTTTTGTAGCATATACAGTAGCCAATAATAATGTTCTTATCTGTACTGAACTTATCTCTTGTAAGATTTATAAGCCCCCGCATTTGTTCACCCATTCTTTCAGCAAACATCTATTGAGTACTAGATGCCACACACCAGATTAAGTGTTGTGGATATTGTAATGAATAAGAGAAACAGAGATAGGCCCTATTGAGAGCAGGATCTGTTCACTCATCTTGGCTTCCACTGTGGAGCCTAGGAAAGAACCAATCTTATTGCTCAGTTGACATTTATCAGAGAATTTTGGCAACCCTTTTAACTTAGTGTATGCCAGTCTGATAAATAAAAGCATTAGAGATAGATCTCTTCAGAAAAGCCTCATGAAATAAAGGCACACTAATGTATATTAACCACTAAGTATGTCTTCTCCCATTCCACTTTTTTTTTTTTTTTTTAATAGAGGCATGTTTTATTTATTTATTTATTTGTTTGTTTGTTTGTTCTGTTTACACATGCACTGGGTACAGTCAGAAGCGCGGGAGGGTGAGAGAATTCACCAGAGCCAGAGCAGGGAGCAGAGCAGGCAGAAGGACCTAAGTACACTGCTGAGGGGAGCAGCGGGCGGCAGGAGAGGTCTGCACACCATGTGGGACCCTCCTCCGGTGGCCGGGGAGAAGCCGGGGATCGAACCGGCGCTGCAGAGGCTGCGGGCAGCTTCGCAACCCAGCGCTCAACTGCTGCGCCACCGGGGAAGCCCTCCCATTCCACTTTTAATTATCATGGCTTTATCCTGAAATAGTGCTCAAAGTATTCAGAGGTCCCTCTGTCAATGTATTTACCTGGGTAACTGCTGAAAGACTGGCGAATACTACTGGTGCTTTTATCTTTGATGTTGAAGTCCCAGTGTTTATATATCCGGAGCATGGCTGCATACGTGTACCAACTGGAGTGAGCAAAATAGATGTTCTCAAATCCGGGAAGAACCTATAGCCAGAGTCACAGCAAATGATACACAGTAAACAACACAAAAGACTCCAAGGAAGCTTTTAGGGATTATGTCAATTCAGGTTGATCACTAAATTTACTTCTAAAAATATATCCAGGGAGTCCAGCATTAACCTTTAATGTTACAAGACATAAAGACTCTATCCTAGCATCCAAAATGGAAAACTCTGGAAGGTGAAAGTGACAGGTACATACAGCAGGAAAGAATAGTGGAAGAAACAGATAACGTCATCTACATCCATTTCTTTCCATTAGTTCATTCCAGTCCTTACCTCCTATGACAGCAATAGTCAGGGTGGTGAGGGGCTGGCCAACTTGGCTGATGTATAGAAAAGGTCTGTGTGGACCAGAACAAGGAGACAGAGAAAAGCTGTTGTGTATGTCTCACCTTAATAAGAGCGGAGCAATGTCCCATGTCCCATCTCTTAAAAACCTTCAGGCTGGAGTTTTTTGTTGGAGAAAGTGAGGGAATCAGGTCCAACAGATCTCCAACAGCATTCAGAAACTGAATCTGGAATAAGGTCATGGGCTAGGAAAGACAAGCCTGCACTTAACATTGACTTGCGACAGTCAGGTATCATTTTCTATTTTTCCACTTCTTAGAGACCCATTAGATTACTCCTTTGTGAAGGGACCCTAAAATAACAGATGCCCTAGATATTACAGTAGCTTATAAAATAACTATCACTTATAAGAGATGGTTTAGCATGTTTTGATATCCGCAGATTTTGGAATTGTCTCCTAAGAGAGTAAAACAAATGGCATTTATTTGCATTTGTCTACAGTTCTTTCAGTTTCAGTACTAATGATATTTCAGGTCAAGCAATTCTTTTTTCTGGGAGGGGACTGTGCGTTATATGGTATTTAGTAGCAAACCTGGCCCAGACCTAGGAGATAGCAGTAGTGCCTGCCAGTTTGGTCAACTAAATATGTCTCCAGACCTTGCCAAATAGCACCTAGAGGGAAATCACCCCCAGTTGGAAATTACTGTTTTATGGCATAAATACTCAACTCAGATGTTTTGGATTTTGATTATGTTTTGACACAACAGCATTAACACTGAAACAGTGATTAGACTTGGACATGAATTTGGTGCTAACCAGAGGGCATTGCTCCCAGAAGAGTTGCTCCAACAAAGGAGCCTGAGGCCAGGAGACTTATTAGTGAGGAGACTATTTAGTGAACTGGATCTTAGGCAGACACGGAGAGAAGGCAAACAATTTTAACCAAAGAACAAGAACAAAAATAAAAGCAAAACATCCAACCCAAGTTTGTACTTATACAAATATTCTCTTTGGTTTGTTTTTTGAATAAGGAGCACACTCATTGTTCAAGAATTCTAATGGTTCTTTTGAATTTTCAGTGAATTCCATAAAACTTTCAAGAGAAAATTACGTTCTATTCAAGTGTATGCATGTGTGTTTTGTGGAGAATGGAAAGCACAGGACTTAACCACGTAGCCATTTGCTTTAACGATCATACTGATCATACCATCTAAATCACCACTTTTATTAAGTTAAACACCATACTTCATACCAGGTTCCTTAACCTACTCCAGAGCACAGTATTATGAAGGCTGTTGAAAAAACTCAGAAGCAAATTGGTTTGTGTTTCAGCTTGAATTTTATATAAGGAGTGTGCCCTAGATCAGACAGTTCTTGTGTGCAAGGAATTTAGACTCTAGATCTAATTTCATCTGCTTCTCAATTGGAATGCTATTTTAAAGATAACTTCCAGTATTGGTACAATGCCTTATAAATTCTAAGTAGCTTCTTTGAAATCTTACCTTTCTCCCTTCTAATATCGCCTTCTTCCTTGACCCTATATACAGCCCATCTAACTGTGCCATAACATAGCCTGTATGTCTCCAAAATGGATCATCCTTGGACTTTTTTATCTTATCCCGGGTCCACTGATCTTGCTTCCTGGAAGAGAAAATTACATTTGTATGTACTAGAAGTTGGTATGGTTACCCATCCAAAGTTTAATTAAACCTATGCATGTACAGATTATATAGATAGATATTTTGATGCTAGTACAATTTAAATTCTCCATCTTGGAACTTTGAAAGGCTATCAGGGCAAACCCTAAATCATCTACCATTTCTCTCTTAGACTATGGGCTTTTCCTTAATAACTTTCTCCATGTTCTCTCTAGAACCAAGCATAGGTATAATATTTACCTACTTGTGATACTGAGAGCTAAGGAAGTCAAAAGTACACCATCCAGATGAATTTAATGTAAACTCATAATGTTGCTCTAGGTAAGGACAAGTTGATTACTGTCGCTTTTGCATGTAAAAGTTGTAACGTTCAACAACAGGGAGAAAAAAACTCCAAAGGGACAGAGCAGTTCATATAGATTTCTGTTTCTTTCTTTTTTTTTTTTTTTTTAAAGATTTATTTATTTATTTATCCAAGCACTGGGGTACAGTCAGAAGCATGGGAGGGTGAGAGAATTCACCAAAGCCAGAGAGGAGAGCAGAACAGGCAGAGTGACGAAGTACACTGCTGAGGGGAGAAGTGAGTGGCAGGAGAGGTTTGTGCAGCCGAGGATCGAACCGGCACTGCAGAGCTTCGCAGCCCAGCACTCAACTGCTGCGCCACCGGGGAGGCCCTAGATTTCTGTTTCTTTCAGATGTTTTCATAGTTTATGGTTTTTTCTATTTCAGGTATTACTCATAACTACCTCAACACTTCTGTCCTAGCATGCTTAGCAAAAAGTCTTGTCCTTTCATTTTGTCTTTCCTCTTTTAGTTTTCTGCACTGTATAGGGGATGATTTGACTTAACTGAGTGCTGAAAGCTATTTCCGTCCAGGCTGTCTGCAGACCCGTCTTAGAACATAGTATTATCGCTTCATGGAATCTGGACTAATGGTTTATGCCTCTGCAGGGCTTTCACACTCGAGGAAGAGGTTGCTTAGTATATGATTTAGAGGGCCAAACCAAGAGCCCTTGCTTCTTCCCCCAAATGATCTGTCATTCCACAGCTATGAAACATATTTCTGAATATTGAGAATTATGAGTTTCAGATAATTTTATTAAAGTTAAACATTTCTCAGGGAATGTAAAGAATTATGACTTTAGATATTACTTAACACGCCGCAGCTAGGATGAATCACCAGGCCCATGAAAAGGAAGCAACTTAAAGAGGGAAAAGCAGTAATCCCTGCAGTAATAGGGGCCTCCAGGTAGAAGCAATCAGAGGGCTGACTCCACCTGCCTCACACTGGTGGCGTCTTCCCATAGCTTTGTTAGCAAGAGAGAATGTCATGTTCACCCTAGTTCGAAAGAGCCCAAATTAAAGGACATGTCTGCAAACAGTTTTCGCATCATTACAAATTCCTCTTACTAGAAGAACCACTCCAAAGTCCTGCCTAATAGATAAAACTTGACAAAGGGAAAACTGCTGCTTGAAATGACAGATTTGCAACTGCAATAACGATGAGAAGAGGAAAGTTATTATACATACTCCAAAAACTCCTGCACTTTATCCACGATGGATGATTTCTTAATCAGCTGGGGGTAGAGGTTTGTGAAGTGGTCATACATTTGTCTGAAATGATAGATGAAAATTATCACATTTTAATTTTCTCATATATTTTCATCACCATAAATGATCCAATCCTGTGGCTAGCTGGAAACGTTCCCTATTGCAACCCTTGCCTATCTTTTTTAATAGAGCAAATACACAATTTAAAATTGAGACATATTTCCTATGGACTGAAAAGCATTGGATATAGCAAGCACCCAACTTACTAAATCATTATATTTTGTCATATTTGCCACATATATTTTTAAAAAAGAAATAAAACATTAGAGTTAAGGCTCCTCAGTACACGAATTTCCATCCCATCTCCCCAGAGGTAATTACAACCTTGAATCAAGTGATTTATTATCCTCATGCATGTTTGTACATCATCACTACATTATATATTTAAATAATACATAAATATATATTATCTTATTTCAGAAAAATATAAATGTGATTATACTATAATTCTACCTTGATTATTTCTCTCAACATGACATTTTTCTTCTTATTTTTTTTCTTTCAACACAACATTTTAAAAGAAATCTCTGTGCTAACATACGCAGATGTATTCTTAGATGTATTCTTTTCCTCCACTGAAATAAGAACACGTGTGCATTCCCATGGGTGACATTTAACTGTTGTTTTTTTTTCACTCTCATAATGCAACTTCAAACATTTTGTTTGTCTTCTTTTACACATTTGCAAAATACACACACACACACACACATATAACAGGAGAATGCTGAAGTGAATATTCTGTATAATGTTACTTGATATGGCCAAAACACATTCCACAGTGAGTGTACTGGTTTACCTTCACACCACTCACATTAGGACTTCTTGCTCCACAGAATCACTGACACCTGATACTGTCAGACTTAATTTTTGACAGTTTGATGGGACACTCATTTTTTAATAACCCTTCCCCCAGGATTATTGGCTATTTTGAATTTTTTATCTTAAAATTTACTTTTAAAAAGTTAAATGTGTCTCATAGGCTATGCAGTAAACTTTTTTTTTTAAAAAAAACTGAGGTATAATGGACATATGTTGGGTCAGTTTAAGGTGTACAACATGTAGGTTGCTTCCTGTTATAAGTGCAGTATGATTACCTCCATAGGTTAGCTGACATGTGTATCATGCCACGTAACTATCATTTCTTTTTTGTGGTAAGAAAAATTAAGACCTAGTCTCTTAGCAACTTCGAAGTTTATAATAGTGTTGTTGTCTATAATCACTATGCTTTGTATTAGACCTCCAGGACTTATTCATCTACTAGTTGCAAGTTTGCTCCTTGAAACTACATCTGCCCAGTTAAATGTCATTACTTGATGAAAGTAATCCATTTACATTTATTGATTTTAATATGCTTGGATTTTTTTCTAAATCTTTTTTATCACTTACTATTCCTTTCTGTGTCACTGCCTTTTATGTTTTCCTAATTTAGATAACTTTTATTATCCTTCTTTTTACTTCTGCTGATTTAGAAGCTGTAAAATGTATACCTATTCTTTTAGTGATCATTACAATTTTTTTAAATATTCATAACTATGCATTTTTCATAAAGCCGAAATGAACTATATATCTCCTCCTACAAGCATAATGCCTATTTTAGCAAGCTCTCGCTGCCCACTGAAACCCCCTATCATGTTATTGGTCAAAGATTTCATTCTAACTTGTTAATTAAATTATTTCTATTTAAAATTCTTTTCTATTTTAACTTTTATAATAAAATTTATCAACTGGATGATTCAAATGGTAAAAAAAAAAATTTTGTTAGTTATTTTCCCTCAGGACTTTTAAGATATTGGCCTCATATTTTCTGGTTCTGCTGTTGTCAATGAAAAGCATGCTGTCAGAGTAGCTGAGATTCCTTTGCAGTCAGTGTCTTTTCTTTCTGATTGCTTTTAAGATTATTGTCTTTATCCTGACTTTTCTGTAGTTTCACCCACTAATGGTCTTCCAATTAAGAACTTGTATCTTTTGGGCCTCCCCTGGTGGTGCAGCGGTTGAGCACTGGGCTGCAAAGCTGCCCACAGCCTCTGCAGCGCCGGTTCGATCCCCGGCCGCCAGGTGAGGGTCCCACATGACGCAACAGACCTCTCCTGTCTCGCCCGCTGCTCCCCTCAGCAGTGTACTTCGTCAGTCTGCCTGTTCTGTTCCCGGCTCTGGTGAACTCTCTCACCCTCCCGCGCTTCTGACTGTACCCAGTGCTTGAATAAACAAATAAACAAACAAATAAATAAATCTTTAAAAAAAAAAAAACATGTCTTTCAATTTTGATAAAACCTCAGTCATCACCCTGTTAACTGACCTACAATTTCTACTAGTCTCTTTTTCTAGGATTCTATGGACATGTTGGAGTTTCTCCATCAAACTTTTACCTAACAACTCTCACAATTTTTACCTCTTCATCTCTTTGGGCAGTATATTATGTCAATTACTCAATACTAATTTATAATTAGAATTGTTTTTGTGATTGTTCCCCTATTTAACATAGTTTTAAAAATTAATTTCCATGATTTTTACTTATTTCAAACTGGTTCTTTTAAATTATCTTATTTCTTCCTGTTTTCTTATCACTTGCTTTTTGTTTCATAAATTCAAGTTTCCTTTCATTTATGACTTAGTGTGCCCTAAGCATATTTGTTAAAACATCCTACAAAATTATTCTGCTGTGTATTAACATTATTGATTTTGTTGACTGTTTTACTTAGCATTTAAATTGAGTACTTTTGAACTTTGGTGTACAGGCACTTTTGTTTATATTCTCTTGTTTCCACTCCACTTCTCTCAGTTTTCTTTGAGGGCCTCAATTGGATTCCCTGAGAAGATCCAAGAATGTTTACAATGCTGAGCTCTCCGTGTCAGTAAAAAACATCAAATGAGGGCCTCCCTGGTGGCGCAAGGGGTTAAGCACCACACTATGAAGCAATCCGCAGCCTCTGCAGCATGAATTCATCCCCAGCCAGCCAGGGAGCTACCCACATGGCAAGGCAGACCTCTTCTGTCTCACCCGCTGCACCCCTTAGCAGTGTATTTCAATCAAGCTGCCTGTTCTGTTCCCCACTCTGTCTCTGGTGGTTCATCTCTCTCTCTCTCTCTCTCTCTCTCACACACACACACACACACACACACACACACACACACACCCCGCCTGTGTGGCCTGTGCCCCAGCTCTTGTATGTGTAAATAAATAAATATTTTTTTAAAAAAAGCATCAAATGAAAGGAAAAACAAAGAGTAAACTTTCAGGCCAGAGGGTACAAGGGGCTCACAATTAGATGTACCCACTTTGCTCCCAACTTAGAGCAAATGATATAGAAAGTGAACACCGAAGCAATATAGTTGGCCTTCCCAATAAGACTGAATAACACTTGAACCTGCACAAGACAAATGAGATGTTGGACCTGCTGCAGCAGGAGAAACAACAACACTGCTGTGGGTGAAGGAACGATGTGTTGAGTTAGAGCAGAGGTGGAACAGAGGTTGAACAACCAAGAACAAACCATCCACGTGCTGGATCCATTGCAGACATAGCTGCAAAATTCCTTAGAAAAGGAAAGTCCCTCAAGGCCACTGTAATCCCCGCTTCTTAGGGAATCCAGAGGAGGCACTTCATCCTTTGAAAATTGAGGTATCCTTTAGCTCTTTCTAGACTGAAATTTACAAAAATGAAAATTGTGTTATTGCTAGTTAGGTGGATAACTTTGAGTTTCTATTTCATAGTTCCTGAATCCAATAAACTTCATTGTGGGTCAGCATCTCCTTCTAATTATTCCCGAATATATTTAAACAAATTATTGCATTTAAATTTTGTTTACATATCTTTTATGCTGCCCCATCTATGCTACTATTGAGTGGGTCACTTTCCCTTGCTACCACCTCTAATTGTTTTAACTTCCTGAGTCAGAGACCCTACTGGCCTCCTTTAGTATTTACCATAGCGATTAATTATTTGCATGTATGTACACCCATGTGCTTGTAACTGTAACTAGATAGCCTAGTTTCTAACCCTAGTTCCCAGGAACTAGCTTTGTGGCCTTTGGCTAGCTTCTTAACCTTTCTACCCAAGTTTTCAGATCAAAATATGAGGATAATAGGGTAAATTAAATAACATGTAAAATGCTTTGAATAGTGTCTAGGATGTTTTAAATACTATATTAGGTGCTAGTCATCACCTCATCATCACCAACATGATCACCACCACCATTTTGTGATTCATATCAAGTTCCATGTAGTTACCGGTGATTGGGTCATGTGACATCTTTGAGGGTAGGACTGTGTCTTACTTTGCTTTTCCCATAGCCTTGAACTGAAATAATTTTCAGTTTCTAACATCAAAAGGAGTAAGTTGGGGGTGTGGAGGAGATTCTTGAGGTGTTTCTTGGTGTAGGTCAAGCACAAAAAGGCATGGTCTTTGACTACTTTCTTGTGCTCTAGTCTTACTAGACCCTCTTTTCATCATAGTTTGAGCAATTATTGTGTCAATGTATTAACTAAAATGGAATCCTCTGTGAAGAAGTACTCAGTAATGAACTTACCCTCTCCTCTCCCTCCATTCTCAGAGCCTAGTAGAAGGCCATGGAACAGGTGTTTGTTGCACTGCATTAACTCACTAAACTAGCTAATTCCAGAGGAGGTCATTTTAGCAGCTGCCCCAGCAACACAAAAGATCAACCACTTCATTAACAACTAGAGCAGATCACACCTCCCCCATCATCATTCTTTCCAGGAAGATTTCATGACTCATTAAAAATCAATCTATGACTATTTATCAGTTTTTATATCATTAGTGAGACATTAGAGACTGCATTTGCAACTCTCAGGGAGCCACCCCACAGAGTGGGGTGGAAAGACGCTCCATTTGGCCAAGGCTCTATGCATTACATGGAAATATGTACCTCACACTCTGATTCATCTCCAATAGAATAAGACTGACAACAGAATTCAATTAAACCTAGTCAGTATGTAATTAAGTGACTGCTGGGGGAAGAAGCCCTATGCCAGGTTTTTAGAGAATATATAGATGAGTAAGATAGGGACCCTGCCCTCCAGGAACAAAAGATGGTGGAAGGACCATGGTGAGTTGGAGTTTAGTTCTGTGGCAATGGAGCAGAAAGGGCTTCATCAGGAAGGTAGATCTGAGACGGCTCCTGGAGGTAGAGCAATAGTTTGATAGGTGGAGTTGGGAGAGGCAGCATCTGGCTGTCAGGAATTTGGGGCTCTGATTATTGCTTGGAAGGGGTTGAGTGAGAGGCTGCAGATATTCAGGCCTCCAGAGTCCATCAGAACTCAACATCCTGCAGTACATGAATCAGGGGACTAGCCTGGGTGGGGGCAATGGAAGAAGGAGAAAAGAAAGAGGGAATGGACAAGACAGTGAGAGAAGCCTCTGGAATTATCTAGTGCCTTCTCTAAGCTGAACTGCATGTGGCAGCTGCTACCACTATGATGAGATCACTCTGCAAGGGCAGTGCAGGTAGATGGCCTGAAGCTTCCTGATAATCTGCAAGGGACTGAGCCCAAGGTCAGATCCGGAGAGTGCTGTAAAAGTTCAAGAAGCAACAAATTATTGAAAACCTGAAAGGAAATGATGGACTGGTGTGTGTGTGTGTGTGTGTGTGTGTGTGTGTGTGTGTGTGTTTCATTAGGTCTTTCAAGCATTTCATAGGTTGGAAAGAGAAATGATATATTCCCAGATGATCTAACCAATCTCTTGATCTGAATCTCCCCATCACTTATCTCAGAATATCCATTCCCTGGCACACCTCCTCTCCCTAAGGGTCAGGAGAATATAAGGTACTCCACTCCATTTTAGATGTGGTGCTGCAGGAAACAGTGGCCCTGCACTTCCCACTGCTCTTAGCAGCTGCCTGAGCATCTGTGCAAGTGGAGAGAAAAGGAAGTGTCTCTCTGGGCCACTGGCACAAACTCACTGTCTCAGCCCAGGCTCGAAAGCCCTTGGTCTGTCGGATCATACTTTGCAAAGTACCCCTAACTAACAGTCCCTGGCAGAATATATCTTAAGTTGATAAAATGTTTGTGTGTGAAGATCCTCTGACTTGGACAATTGCCCATGGGTGGTCGAAAACCCGCCAACCATCCTGGCCAGTGATGTTTGTTCCTTCTCTGCGATTGGTGGAGTTTCCAGACTAGTGGAACAGCCACTTCCAGATGGTGGACAGTTAAATTCTCTGGCTTAGCCTCAGAGGATGTCAAATAGCTTTGCTCAGAGGGTGCCCCACTGCCTCTCCCCACTCTGTGAAGATGGTGGTGGGCTGCGCTGCTGGGTGCTGTTGATGCTGGCCTTGGTGTTGCATGTGATCCTGCAGCTGCAACCCATGAGCCCTTCCAGCATCCCCTCTGCCCTGTCTCCCTGCCGGAGCTCTTGCCACTGTGAGCCCAGCTTCTTGACTCCATTTGGCAAATCTCCTTCCTTCAAATTAAACTCCTGGGCATTGGAGTGTGGAATAGGCCTTCAGCCTCTGGACCATTCAGAAAAGGAGGAAGGAAATCAGTAGCCTCCTTCCTCGCCTCCCTTTTCCCCAGTCCTTTGCCAGGGATCTGTTGTAAACATCCTGGGTCCCATTCCACTGTTCTGAGCTGAGCGAGACACAGAGCAGGTCCCTTAAACACAAGCTGATTCCCCTACCTACTTGATTTTTCAGTAATGGAATTAGAATGACAATCTCTGAAAGTAGCCTGTGGGAAACGCCTTTCTAAGGAAGCTTTGGTTGTAATTCCTCCTCCTCTTCGCTTTTCTTTCTTTTCTTTTTGCCCTCTCCTCTTTCTCTTTTCCCTCCTCCTCCTTCACATATCAAATACCGCTTTTTCTTCCATGTACCCCCTTCAGGTCTCTACCACCTACTTTCCTGTTCAGCAGCTTCTCCTGCCAGTAACCAAGTGTTTGCAGAGCACAGGTCCTCCCGGACTCTTGGTACCATGAGCCTGGGGGAGAATTACCTTCATCATCAAGGCTAGACAATTTATCTTTCAAAATCAAGCAACCTTGGAGCCCTCTACACTTAGAGTAGAGAGTGGCAGCTGGGGGTGGGCTTCTATCCAGAGCCTTCCATTGTACAACCCCCCCTTTGCCTTTTTTTTTTTTTTTTTTTTTTGGTGAAGAACTGGTGAAGTTTTTATGAAACCCACAGAAGTAAAAGCCATATTGTGAGGGGATAGGAATAGAGCCGCTAAGGAGTGGGAACCAGGCCACTAAGGAAAGGGGGCACAGAGTTAACAGGGCAGAAAGCAGTGCCAGGCTTGCTGCCAAGTGAGCCCCAGCCACAGGGGCCATCACCAGGGCCACTGGAAAGCTCCGGGGCTGGCACCAGGCGGCCTCTGTGGTGGGGGCTCCACCCACACAGCTGGCACCTTGGTGTCACCAAAGGTCTCATTCATGCAAGTCTCAAAAAAGAGCTGCGGGCTGCTGATGGACTGCACATCTGCCATATCCCCTGCCAGCTGTTCAACTGCTTAAGCCTGTGGCCCACATCCCGGGCAACTTCTTGGGGGAACTGTAGGTGGGGGACAACTTTTCCTGGAGGGTGCCACTGGACTGATACAGGGAGAAGTTCCTATGACTTTTTGTTTAATCTGTTGTCCTCTGCTTGCTTAATTGAAGCCTCTACTTCCTGCAATTAATTCATTTCAGACTCAGCACCTTTTTTCAGGGCTGTTCTGTGACCTTCTGTCCAGTTGTTCTGTGAGTATTAGGTAGATGGTGAGACTTGTCCCTCCTCTGGATCATTTGCTCCTGAGCTGCCACAACTGGTCAGAAAGGAAGGCAGACCAGTTGCCAAATCCTCAACGCTTTGGTCACAATACAGAAAAAGCTGTTTGCTTGTTTGTTTGTTTGTTTGTTTGAATCTTCTAATACTGACACACACCTGTTGGATTTTCTCTGAAAGGTCATGGCAAAAAGGCAAGATACAGAAGGAAACCATTTCTGAAGAGTAGCTAAGTGTCCTTAAGAAATACATTCCAGTAATCTTTAACATAGAAGTATGAAAAGTTATTAACCGAATGAACTTATTAGGATGAATTTATGGATTTTCTTGATAAAATGATAAAAGCACTCAAGGATAGGTCAATGTTCCATATAACAATGAGGGGGAGATGACAAAGCCACCCCCAAAAATGAGAGTTTAAAAACATTATGTTTTTTTGAGACATCAGGATGGCAGAAACTCCATGAAGGTCAGAAGCCACCTTGGTTTCCCCAAGTTCACAAGGAGTGATGGCAATATCCCTGGCAGGCACAATGTCCTGACAACACCCTCCCAGATTAGAGTTGCCCCTTCGAACTGCAGTTTCCCCAAATAACCGGCTATGTATATCACGCATGGGTCCTTCTGACATATTTATAGTCACGCAACTTCAGTCTGAATTATTTCTCCAAATTTGGAACTCAATTTAAATAATGTAATCAGAGTCAGTGAATATCGAAGTAGATAAAGATTTGGCGGAAAGGATGAAATCTGCAGAGTTTTACATGCAACTGATAGTTTAGACATGTTTTTACAATCTTACTCAGTTTATAATATTTTGTGCATCTCTGAGTAATATACTATTAAGGGGAATTGGAAGGAATGGTGGCAAACATTTGGTATAAAAGGAAAAACAGGAATTTCTAGTTTAAATAAAGAAGAGGAGTCAGAATCCAATAACTAGTCATTCAACATCCGATGTAATCTCCAGTACTCAAATCAAGACTGCTCTGTGTTTACCATGACACACAGAATGAGGTCTGGCTAATCTAGGTCACAGGATAAAAGAAGGCCGTGTCATCAGAACCCTTTTTATATCAAAGGAAAAATAAGGCTAGATTAAATGAGTTGCAACTTCTTCTTAGAGATCTTTTTTCTAAAAGAGAGGCCTCAATTATGTATGATTAACTGCATTCCTGTTATTTCTATAAGACAAGCGAAGCACATAATAATCCATAGACCTGGAAAAAATGTTTATATTAAACATTAAAATTTCAATTTAAAATCTCTTTGCCCTCTTGAAGTTATCATTTTAAGACTGTTGAATTTTACTTTTCATTAAGCTTCTCTGTATTGGAGTTTTCCACCCTTCACTTGCTTTCCACCAGGCAACAAGTGACTAGTAAGATGAACTGGTTTAGCTGACCTTCACAATGGTTTCATGAGAGGGAAAGATTTAAAACAATAAATGCCAGGAGGATTGTAGAGAGCTACAATTGAGACCTTTGTTCCTTCTAGGCAGGTACTGATAATGGGCACAGATGTCACTGGAACAATGTATCAGATTTGAAGGATCTCAGCTACTTTTCAGTTCTAATGTACAATGCCAGGAAGACAAGAGCCCCTTGTGGACAAAGAAAGGGACAGGGTGCCCACTAGTTCACCACAATCTGGATACTTACGAGGCAGTGAGGTAGCCCTCTAAGAAGCCGGCCACAAACATGATGATGTCATTGCTCAAGTCCTGAGAACCATACCCTGCTTTGATCTCCAGGACGCCCCAGCCTGTGGTCATCACAGAGTCATTGTAAAAGCCATATGCATCTCCAGTCTTGTCCAGGACGGGCTTGATATGTACAGTCTTTTCCGCAGGCATCCAGTATGCGGTGGCATAGTGGACTTCTAGAAGAAAGGGGATAGGATGCATTGAACTGAGTGACTGATGCATTTTCCTACATAATCAACAATTCCAATGTGTTTGCTTTTAAAGAGTTTCGACATTCTATTATAACTGGGAAATCTGCCAGTATAGTTTGTCCTTTTACAAGTGGGGGAAACCAGAGGAACCCAGATCACACAGACCCAGGTCACAGGTAGGGGTGTAGTTAGAACATTAGAGAGGGGGGCTTAAGGGCACCATCCTGATTGATGGGATTGGGGAAAGGCCAGAGCTGGAGTTCTCCCCACCTCTTCAGCCAGCCAAGGATATGGGGTTCATTTCCCTGGTCAGGAAGGTCTTCTATTCCCCTTGGCAGCTGTGCCATAGAAACCATATTCTTTGTCTTTATCCTTCTCTCCTGCTCAGTTCATGACTTTGATTCCTTCCTGACATTTGGACTCCTATTATATAGAAAAAGGAAACTAACACCTGGCATCACCTCAGATTCTTGATACTATTATGAATTTGCCCTCCCCAATCCTATACTCGTCTTTGTCTTATTTACCTCATTCCTTCTACCCATAATCTGGATCGCCACTCAGTACCACCTTCTTAAGGATCTGTTCCATCCTAGATCCTCTTGCACCCCAACACACTGTCTCTGCAGTGCCTCCCACCCCTTTGGTATGTGTATGAGCATCTTCCATCTCATAGCTAAGAGCAAACCAACCGCACAGCTTTCTCTGGATCCTGTGACCAGATTTATAGCGATGGCCTAACCTCTCACTCCCTAGATGAATTTATGACAAATTTTAGAGTCCTGTATCAGGGACTGTCCTTGGTGCTGGTGATGGCTGTGAATAAGACCAGCGTGGTTCTGGCCTCCTCTTCTGAAGGGTAGCACATTCATAGTTTGCTTCCTTATCTGTCTTGTGTCAGTTGGCTGCAGCCTGGTACTCATCCCTCCATGCTACCAACACTGCTCTGGCTTGGTCATGGATGAATCCTTGTATCCTAATGGCAGTGGAACTTCTGAAAGCATACAGCATCCAGGTGGCCACTTAGTCGTAGATCACTTTCCTTCCAAAGCAACAGAAACAGCAGTTTCTGAACCACCTCCTCTGCCTACTTTTTCCTCATTCTCCCCGGGTTCCTTTCATCTTGTCCACCCATCAGCACAATTAACACCACCATCTGGGTCATCCATAAATTTGGAAATCCAACATTTCCAAAACAAAACTCATATTCTCTCCCAACCCATCTTCCATCATCTTTTTTTTTTTTGGTAACTGAAGTAACACTGTCTTATTATATTGTAGACATTTTGGGTACATCATTGAGAATCAACACAAGCATATCCTGTGTTAAGTTCACTGCTAAGTGGGCAAGTCTGTCCTTCATCTGTTTGCTATCTTTGTGAACTTTCAGTGAGAAATCCAGGTCCATCCAGGCCTCCTCCGTCTCTCCCACATTTCATGTTTAATTAAAACTACCTAAGCACCTCTCCATTAGTCCACCTCTTTTGCTCTTCTGTGCAAGAGAACTTTCTTGAATTCCTTCTGAACTTTAATCCATTATTCATTCATCCTGTCAGAATGACCTTTCTAAAATGCAAAACTCTCTCTACCTATGAGTGAAACAAGGGTAAACTGGGTAAAGGGGATCAATTGTTTGGATAGAAAAGTGACTTTTGGTGGCAATCACAAGGTAGCATGTATACATTTTGAATTTTCATGCTATATACCTGAAATCTATATACTGTTTTAGACCAATGTTACTTCAAATAAGAAAATCAGTGAATGAATGAATGAGTGCAAAACTGATACAAATCTGCCATGACCTCAGTTTCCTAGAAATGTAACTCTGAGCCTAGATCCTTGGCCTGAGTTGCTGGTTTCCACCTATCTAGCCATTTTCACCCGCCACCCCATGTACTTCTGATCCGAAAACATTCACACCACTCTACCGCCTGCCTTAAGCCAGTTCCACACCTCTGACTTTGCATATACTGTTTCCTCTACCTGAGGTTTTTCTCTCTTTTTAAACACCAAGCAATCTCAAAATTGCTATTTCAAATTATAAATGGAAGAGGGGAAATCATAACAGACTCAGTAGAAATCAAAAGAATAATCAGAGATTACTATGAACACTTATATGCAAACAAATTCAACAACCTAGAAGAGATGGACAAATTACTGGAATGATATAATCATCCAAAGCTGGACAAAGAAGAAAGAGAACACCTAAACAGACTAATTATAAGCAGCGAAATTGAGGCAGTAATCAAAGCACTCCCCCAGAACAAAAGCCCAGGTCCAGATGGCTTCACAAATAAATTCCACCAAACGTTCAGCAGTGAATTAGTGCCTGTCCTACACAAACTCTTTCAAAAAATTGAAAAAGAAGGAATACTACCAAATACGTTCTACGAAGCCAACATTACACTAATACCAAAACCAAACAAAGACAGCACACACAAAAAAGAAAATTACAGGCCAATCTCCCTAATGAACACTGATGCAAAAATCCTCAACAAAATCCTTGCCAACAGAATCCAGCAATTCATCAAAGAGATAATACATCATGATCAAGTGGGATTCATCCCAGGGGCACAAGGATGGTTCAACATACGAAAATCGATCAGTGTAATCACATCAGTGCAATCACATCAACAAAAAGAAAAATAAAAACAGTATGATCGTATCAATAGATGCTGAGAAAGCATTCAACAAAGTCAAACATCCATTTATGATGAAGGCCCTGGAAATTCTCGGGATAGAAGGAACATATCTTAACATGATAAAAGCCATATATGACAAACCCAATGCCAATATTATTCTCAATGGTGAAAAGCTGAAGGCCTTTCCTTTAAGATCAGGAACAAGACAATGATGTCCTCTCTCACCACTGCTCTTCAATATAATACTGGAGGTCCTAGCCAGGGCAATAAGACAAGAGAAATACATACAAGGAATCCAAATAGGGAAAGAAGAAGTAAAACTATCACTATTTGTAGAAGATATGATAATATAGAGAACCCTAAAAACTCCACAGAAAAACTATTTAAAATAATCAACCGGTTCAGTAAAGTGGCAGGATACAAAATCCACACACAACAATCAGTAGCCTTCCTATAAACAAACAATCAATATGAAGAAGAAATCAAGAAAACCATCCCTTTTATAACTGAAACAAAAGAAATCAAATACTTGGGAATAAACCTAACAAAAGAGGTGAAAGGCCTATACAAAGAAAATTATAAAACACTGTTAAAAGAAATAGAAAAAGTCACAAAGAAATGGAAAGACATCCCCTGCTCATGGATTGGAAGAATTAACATTATTGAAATGTCCCTCCTACCAAAAGCAATATACAGATTCAATGCTATTCCAATAAAAATCTCAATGACATTATTCAAAGAAATAGAACAAACACTGATGAAATTAGTATTGAACCACAAAAAACCATGAATAGCCAAAGCCCTACTGATGAAAGCAAAGGAGAAAGGAGGTATCACACTTCCAAACTTCAAGCTATACTACAAAGCCATAATAATTAAAACAGTTTGGTATTGAAACAAAAATAGACATACAGACCAATGGAACCAAATAGAGAGCCCAGAAATAAAATCACACTTATATGGACAACTGATCTTTGACAAAGGAGCAAAGACTGTGCAATGGAACACGGACAGTTTATTCAATAAATGGTGCTGGGAAAACTGGACCACCACATGCAAAAAAATGAAACTAGACCACTACCTTTCACCGTGCACAAAAATGAACTCAAAATGGATAAAAGAACTGGACATAAGACCTGAAACCATAAAATATATAGAAGAAAATATAAGTAAAACACTACAAGACATACCTCTCAAAAACACATTTAAGACTCATCACCCAAAGCAAAGAAAGTCAAGGAAAAGATAAGCACCTGGGATTACATCAAACTGAAAAACTTCTGCACAGCAAAAGAGGCATTAACCAAAACAGAGGGAGACCCCACTGATTGGGAAAAAAATCTTTGCACTCCAGTCAACTGATAAGGGACTGATCACAAAGATATACAAAGAACTCACAGGACTCAACAAAAACAAAATAAACAATCCAGTCAAGAAATGGGCAGAAGAACTTAAAAGATTTCTCCAAAGAGGAAATGCAAATGGCCAACAGGCATATGAAAAAAATGTTCAACATCCCTGATAATCAGGGATATGCAAATTAAAATCACATTGAGATACCACCTTACACCAGTAAGAATGGCACACATCAAAAAAACAAGCAACAACAAATGTTGGTGAGGATGTGGTAAAAAAGGAACTCTCTACATTGCTGGTGGAAGACCATTGCCAACTGGTCCAGCCACTATGGAAAGCTGTCTGGAGATTCCTCAACCTGCTAAAAATGGAGCTACCATATGACCCAGCAATTCCACTAATAGGGATCTACCCAAAGGACACAAAAACATTGATTCAAAAGAACACCTATATACCTATGTTTATTGTAGCACTATTTACAATAGGTAAAACCTGGAAACAACCCAAATGCCCAAAAATAGATATCTGGATTAAGAAGTTGTGGCATATATCCACAATGGAATATTATTCAGCAATCAAAAAAGATAAACTCATGCCATTTGCAGCAACATGGATAGAACTAGAAGGAATTATGCTCAGTGAAATAAGCCAGAAGGAAAAAGAAAAATTCTGATGGTTTCACTTATAGCAGGACTATAGGGAAACCCAATCAGATATCAGTGTAAAAAAAAAATAATAGCATACAAAACACAACAAAGCAAAAAATGGACAATTATAAATCAGAGACATCCTGCAGGGGAGGAGGAGGGAGAGGGATCAGAGGGAGGGAGGAGCACAGGGAACTAAGGTGATGGTGCACGGGTGCATTGGTGAAGGAAACTCTATGGGGACTACCCCTGAGGGGGTGGGGGGAAGCAAATAATGTTTAAAAATGAACAATGATGTAAAAAATAAAAAAAGTTAATATTAAAAAATAATAATTTAAAAAAAGAATCAGGAAGATGCGGCCCCACTGGAGGGGCTGACTTGTCTCCAAGCTCAGTGTATGTCGTATGTAACTCTCCTGTAGGTCTTGCCACAGGAGACCTACAGGTCTGTCCCTGCTCCTGGCTTATGACTCCTCAAGGCCACAGATTTTTTTTTTTTTTTTTGTGGGACCCTCGCCAGTGGCCGGGGATCAAGCTGGTGCTGCAGAGGCTGTGGGCAGCCTCACAACCCAGCGCTCAACCGCTGCGCTGCCAGGGGAGGCCCCTCAAGGCCACAGATTTTCCTCAGCACTAGGTGTATTGCCTGACCTATAATAGGTACTCAGTAAATATTTGCAAAAGAAAGGGAGACTTAGGAAGGGGAGAATTATGGGGGAAGAATGTCCTGAAGAAAGAAAATGGACAGAGAGCGTTTTTTTCCCCAAGAAACCAGTGCACAGCTTCTCAGGCTTGTAGGCAAATTTAATTTAGCTCATCAGTTGAGAGGAAGCCAGGTGGGTCTCAGGATCTAGGTTGAGACTCAGCAGATGAATGTTGTATCATTTGAGAGAGGGAGCAGCTGGGGGATGGATCTGGGGGGAATATGACTATACTTTTTGGACATGCTGTTTTTAGTGACAAGTATTAGAAAGCTCAGATTGAATTTTTATGTGGGGTTATGTGTTGTCGAGGACATGTCAGCAGACTCCAGGTGACAAATAATAGTCTAATTGTTAATGAAGCTAATGGGCTGCAATTTGACAATCACAAGCCGCCTTCTAGAAACTTCCTTTCTTCTCCCATCAAATACAAGAAATGTCTCCCAAACTGATTTTGGACCATAAATGCCATTACCCCCTGTAGGGTAAGGTAAAAGGTATCAGGCTTTTCTGCCCTCCCGCCATTAGGATAGATGACAGAACCCTGTGGTCCTGAATGCATGCCTGATGGCGGGCACCTGGAGTAGGGTGCATAGGTAGATGGGATTCACCTGGGCTTTTAAGGGCGGTGTCATGGGGACGCCAGAAGAAGCGGAGAGAGAAGCAGAGCCATGAGAAGAGCAGAGAGAATGTGAGAGAAGGTCGGAGATCCCAGAGTGAAGACTTGTGGGGGGGCTGGGAGACCTGCAGCCTCCCAGCCCCCCAGCACCCCTGCCTGCCGTGTACCTGGTAATCTAAATAAAAACCTGCAAAAGCCACTGAGGACTCTGACTCCTCCTTTACCCGGTCTGCTGGATCAGAAAACCTGCCCAGTGTCCGTTCCTGCCTTTACACCCCACACTTGCCCAATTTTTCTCGAATATTCTTTCCACCCTCACCTCAAGTGAGCCCAATAGGAAAAAGAGGAAGCCTGGCTAACTAAATACAAAGAATTGCTGCGGCAAGGAAGGCATCATAAACAGGAACTGCAGAAGAAAAAAGGAAGTGAAACCTGTCACTCTCTTTTCTTTCAGTGCTACCCACAGAGTATGCTTTTAGCTCTGGCCTTTCTCATCAGAACCTGGTCTTCCTTTCCCCTCACTTTCCACTCCCGCAGCCTCGTTTGCTGTAAACCTTGGCTTGTTCTCAATCTCTGTGCTCAAGGACTGTGTTTGCACTGTTACTGGTGCTAAATAATCTCCTAACCACAAAATAATCAACTTCTGCAAATCTGAGCTTTTGTAGCCCCAGTGCATCTCACGCATGAGTGACCTCTTCCCAGTCCTCGGGAGAATCCACGAGAATAACTGCCGACAAACTCACTAATATAGCAAGTGCTAAGAATTGAAACCTGGGCCTCCCTGGTGGTGCAAGGGGTTAAGCACCACACTGTGAGGCAATTTGCAGCCTCTGCAGCATGAGTTCGATCCCCGGTCGCAACCCACATGGAGCAACCCATATGGCGCAGCAGGCCTCTCCTTGCTTGCCTGCTGCTCCCCTCAGGGGTATGTTTCAGTCAGTCTGCCTGTTCTGTTCCCCACTCTGTCTCTGGTGGATCCTCTCACCCCCCGTATCTCTGGCCTGTACCCCAGCTCTTGTATAAATAAATAGATTAAAAAAAAAAAGAATTGAAACCTGAGTTTCTCACTCCACCCAGAATGGATGTTCTCCATGCCTCAGGGTTTTTTTCTGTCTCATTTCTTTCTGGTTTCCCTCGTACCCTGCTAATTGCTAATTTTCTTCGACCATGTAATAGTTTCAGTCATGAGACTTCTCTATTTTTTTTAAAAAACATCTTGGTGTTGAGAGGCAGATGAAAGCTAGACGTGTAATAGTGAACAGGCAGGAAATTTTACATGCTCTGGACCCCGACCTGGCTTGGTACCAGCTCTGTGGGGCAAGGGACCACTTCCACTCACCCTGTCTACCTCAGGGGGATTAAACCCAGCAACGTAACGGTTCTGTGATGAATCTAGCTTAATATATGTGCTCTTGAGAGGAAAGGGAAGTTTGTCAGGACATTCACAGAAGTGAGTCTATAATAACCCAGGTTGCTATGTCTTAAGCTCAGATTAGGGACCTAGAGGATGGGTCAGATACGGGCACCTGCCATGTGTTAATATTTTTCCCAGAATTATGAAGATGAAAAATAAGATTTCAACAACTTTCACAACAGCAGCTTCAAAATCAACACCCTTGATAAATGTGTTAAATGAATGGCAATGTCACTTTATAAAAACAGAACATTTATCTTCCATAAACAAAGACAGAAGAAGGCCCATCATTGTAATACTTTAGTTGACATTAAAACCCAAACTCCCATGTTACAATTTTATTTTCTTGTGTATTCTTATATAATCTATGAGCTCATTGATTTTAATCAGGGGGGAAAAACACCCCACCTAAACCTACTGTAAAATAGTCATAAGTGGCCTACAATACTCTGATCCATATTTGGAACTTAATTTTCCTAGCACCTTCATTTATGTAAGTTAATAGTTATCAACCCTGAACAATATCATTTTTGCCTAATATATTCAGTCATTTAGTGCTGGGAAAAGGATAAGTGAGCAGAGGTACAATGTGTGAGAGAAAATATTTATTTACTTAAGATTTACTTATTTTTATACAAGAGCTGGGGTACAGGCCAGAGGCACGGGAGGATGAAAGGATTCACCAGAGACAGAGTGGGGAGCAGAACAGGCAGAAGGACCAAAATACAGTGCTGCACCATGTGGGTATCTCCCTGGCCGCCCAGGAATTGAACCCGCGCTGCAGAGGCTGCGGACAGCCTCACAGCGCTGCACTCAACTCTCTGTGCCACTGGGGAGGCCCGAGAAAATATTTAAAAATTAAGATTGCGATTAACCTATTCAAACTGGGTTTCCCCTGTACCCTCTGGTCTGGTCCTTGAATTGCTCTCTCTTCTATATCCATGAGTAGAGGCTTGCAGAATCTCTTTGTGTCCCTTGGCATTGCATGTTCTTTCTCTGAAAGGGTTCTTATGTGGTTTTTAGGTTTGTTTCAACTCTTCAGCAGCCTCACTAAGAAAACAACTGATTCATGAATAAACAATCTCCAGGCAACAAAATACCAAGGAGGTGTTTCAGCTCTTTTCCAACAGAAAGCAAAGCCTAGGACTCGTGCTGAAGGGAGGTCTGATTTAGGAAATGCTCCTAAGGAGCAAGAGTTGGGGATTGGAAGAAAGAAACAGGGAAAGTTAATTCAAGGGTGCACTTGGAGGTGACCAGGGCATAGAGTAAGCCTCTGTAGGGCCTCCCTGGTGGCACAGGAGTTAAACACAGCACTGTGAAGCTATCCACAGCCTCTGCAGCACGAGTTTGATCCCTGGCCGACCAGGGAGCTACCCACATGGTGCAGCAGACCTCTCCTGTCTGGCCCACTGCTCCCCTCAGCAGTGTATTTCAGTTAGTCTGCCTGTTCTGTTCCCTACTCTGTCTCTGGTGAATCCTCTCACCAACCCCCCCACCACACCTCTGGCCTGAACCCCAGCTCTTGTATGCATAAGTAAATAAATTAAAAAAAAAAAAAGAATAAGTAGACCCCAGGGGTGGAAGAGGGACTTCTTCACCTGCACCTGGGCAAAATTCAAGGGCTTGTTTAGTGGGGTTTGAGGACTTTTCGTTGTTGTTTTGAGGCAGAAGGTACAGATTAGTGTCAATACCTACAGGGATAAACCTGTTTTAAAGGTAAGAGGGGAATCGTCAAGTAAAAGCCCTCAGGTATTTCAGCTCTTTGCTGCTTTATGTGTATCTTTATGCAAATTACTAAATCTCCTTCATTCTCAATTCGGTTCATCTGTACAATGGGAATAAAAATCCCATTTAGGCTTCCAGTGCGCCTTATATGAAAAAACACAGCCCTTTAGACACACTTTCTGGTACAAATAAAGCTGCCGGTTAGCAGATGGCACGCGTTATTGCAACCCAAATCCTTGCCACTGTAGACGGGGGGCGCGCGAGGGTCCGGGGGGATGGCAGCCTAGACTCACACCTGCCCCCAGTGAGGTGAATAAATATATTTAGATGTCCTTTAACTGACGCTTTTAGGACCAGCCGAGGCTCTGCCAGCAGCCAAGAGTCAGGCTGGAGCAAACTGCTTCGTGGCCGGGAAATCCGGCCAACGCTCTGGAAGCCGCCCGCGCCGTCGGGCTTTCTCGGGTGCCACCCCGGAGCCCCGGCGGGGCTGGCGCGTTCCCGCCCGTCCCCCCGCGGAAGCGCTTTCCTGGGCGTCCACCCAGAGCCCGGGCACCCGCGGGAAGGACCCTTGGAGGGGCTGGGGCGGGAGCGGCGGGGCGCGCGGCTCACCTGCCAGGCTCGGCGGCGCGGCGGCCAGAAGCAGCAGCAGCAGCGGCGGCAGCCCGGGGTGCCCGTCCCGGCTGCGGCGGGACATGACTCCGCGCCCGCGACCTCTCGGCTGGGCCGGGCGGCGGCGCTTCGAAGGGCGGCTCTTGGGCCGGCAGCCAGCGGGGCGCCGCGTCTCAGAGGTCGGCGCTGCTGGAACTTTCCTCTTTCATGAGTCCTGTTGTCTGGTGCTTGTCAGGGGCGAGGAGCCTCACGCGGCCTTGGGAACGACCTTCACCCCGCTGGGCACCAGCCTGGAAAGGCGGGTCCTCTCTGACCCTCTAGCGCCCAGTGGGCCGGGCTGGGAAAGTTCCCCAGCTGCGCCCCAGCCGGCTGCCGAGGCTGCGCGGGCCACTTTCTCTGCGCTCCGCGTCCGCCCGGGTGGTTTTGCCGCCCAAGCTTCGAACGAATCAGTTCACATCCACGCTGCTCGCCTCTGTCTGCAGGTCAGCCACTCCTCCGGAGCCGCGGGGACGAGGCACCCCGAGAAGGGGTGAAATGCATGCCCCCCCGCCTTCACAGCTCTGCGCCCCGGCTGTTCTGGAGAGGTCTTCACGCGTCCTTTAGCCCCCAGTGATTAGTGCCTCTCCATCCCAGGCTGTTTAACCTAAATCCATTTGCTACAGCTCAAGACTTTTTGAGCCTTTGCTTTTTCTCTTCAGTGGCTGGAGCCACCGCAGGAGAGTGATTGGGACAGAAGTGAGACGAGTCTATCCCTGAACCCCTGTGAGGTGCCCATTTCTGTGCAGGGTCAGTTGAAAGTGACATTGTGAAGTAGGCAAAACCATGCCTTGGGTGACATTGTGAAGCTGGCAAAGGGTGGTGCCCTAGGTGACATTGTGAAGTAGGCAGAAGGCATTTTATTCACTCAGTGAGCATTTATTGAGCCCACTGCCATGTGCCAGTCATAAAAGCCCAGAGCATGGCTCTAGAAGAGAGACCCGCCAGAAGAGACAGAGCCATAAAAATTGGTGCGTGGAAGCTGCCTTTCATGCTGTCACAGGGCTTGTCTTCAGGTGCACTGGAGGACTCCAGGATAGGACAAGCCACCCACAGCTGGGGTGGGGGGGTGGGCTGCACACCCCTTTTTTTATCAGTCTTCCAAGTTTAAGGGAGGTGGCAAGGGAAGAATTCCTAGAGGGAGACATCCATTTTTAATTATTAGCAAAGATCAGAATGATTATGTCAAATTTGCAAATGATGAAACCCAAGTAAGTCCTGTGGTTGGTTAGTAGCACCTGTCACAGTGCCTGGAGGATTAGACCATTTAATGAATGAAGGCGTTAAAGACAGTGTGGACATTGCTCACTTTTCCAAACCACACTTTGGTTTGGGAAAAAAATTGAAAATCATGAACATTTGGTTGTAACATGTGGGTAAGAGAACTATATTAGGAAGTTGTCCACCCCAAATTATTTTAGTCATGCTACCCCTTAGCAGCATTCTTCCTTACCAACCCTTCCAATCCCAGAAGCCAAGTGTTCTGATGTGATCACCTACGTAAAAATGCCTGAGGCCAACTGCCATCTATTATTCCACCATCAATATCTGTTGACCACCACGTTCCAGGTATAGACAGTAATCAAGATGGACAATGTCCCTGCCCTTGACCTTAGCCCTCTGACATTTTGACCCATATAATTCTTCGTTATACAGAGTTGCCCTGTATGGTCCCTGGCCTTTGTCCACTAGATGCCAGTATCACCACCCCCCTCCAGCTGAAGACATTGCCAAATCTTCCCTCTTAAGGGGGCAAATCTGCCCTCATTTAAGAATCACTCAACTGAGTGGTGATGTTGAGTGATAAGTCCTGCCTTCTTTAAACTGCCTAGGGTTTTTGTGTCTGATGGGAAATGAGCAGCTAATACTCATACCAAAGCCAGTGCTGGAAGGACCAAAGATGATAATGAATGTGATGTTTTTTCTCATTTCTGGAGTAGATGTGTGTGATTGAGGCTACTTATCCATCAGCCATTTTCAGAACCAATTTTTCATGGATCTGGATTCCATTGGTTTAGAGGTTTTGTGAGTAAGGGGAGAGGCATTTTTACGCCGAGAGACACAATCATTAGTTTCATTGACTTGGAATTTGAAATTACTTCATGGTCTCTATTGGGGTCATCTGAGAAATAATGAGCTATAACAGGGTTAAAATGTTGGTTAGAGTGACTGTCAAAAAAATAGCCCTGCTAGGGGGCCTCCCTGGTGGCACAAGGGGTTAAGACGCAACCTGTGAAGCTATCCGCAGCTTCTGCAGCACGAGTTTGATCCCTGGCCAGCCAGGGAGCAACCCACACGGTGCAGCAGACCTCTCCTGACTCGCCCACTGCTCCCCTCAGCAGTGTACTTCAGTCAATCTGCCTGTTCTGCTCCCTACTCTGTCTCTGGTGAATCCTCTCACTCCCTGCCCCACACCTCTGGCCTGTACCCCAGTTCTTGTATGCATAAATAAATAAATCTTTTTTTTTTTAAAATAGCCCTGCTACCTCACAGGAGGAGAAGCAGTAGAAGCTCAGGAAAGTCCCTTGTATGACCACATCTCACTGAGGTGGTTAATAAAAGTGCTGTCACCACCAGACCCTCAGCTTCCACTCCCCAATGGGCAAAGAACTCCAACTAGTTGAGATGCTGGCCCAAAGCAAGAGGAACATGGAAAGAAGGTAGAGAAATCATACAGATCTATAGCTGACTGGCCAGGTATAGAAACTGATTTGGCGACCTCTATATTTCTTTCCTCTCTGAAACATATATGGTGGATTCAAAATATTACAATTCTAGATGAAATGTGACATCTTGCATCTCTTGGCTTGTAAGTTTATAGTACAATTCATCTAGCATTCAGTTTGTCCATGGATGGTAGATTTTGAAATGTCAGGTTTAAGATTACTTGGTCTCATTTGTGTTAAATTCTTAGCACTCTTTGCCTCACATCCTTCACCCTTTTTTTCCTGTGAGGTAGATCTTAGTTTCAGGGGGTTTATGTACTGACCTGGTACTGGATAGGAGATATCTACTCTGTAAGTCATCCTCTTGGTGTGGTGACCTGCCCTGAGATGGTGAGTTTGTCCCTCTGGCTCTCTTTGTGATATGCAGGAATGCATTGCTCACATTTGCATCTCTTGGCCTGTTCTAGATTCCTTCATGTTCTGTGGCTGAGTTAGGCTAATACCAGCTAATACCATGACAAACTCCAAAAGTTCAATGGGTTAAAGCGACCGAAGTTTATTTCTGGCTCATATATCACTACAGTGTGGGAGTTCTTAATTGGTAGGTGGCTTTCCTTCACGAGGAAACTTAGGAACCTGGCCTCTTTTCATCTTGTGGTTCGGCCACCCCTAAGGCAGAGGCTCCCAAACTTTCTTGGTTCACAGTGCCCTTAAAGTCTCAATTATATATTCTGTGGCTGCAGACCAAAAGAATTATCTGCTGGTTTCTTTTTAAAATTCCTTTGAACCAAACAATTTATTAGTAATAATTTGCTCAGTTCCTATACACAATTTCTCTAAAAAAATTTTAATAATATCCCAAACCCCCCTTTGATTCCTTATGGCGTGTTCTACTGCTATTACTATTTTCTGTGAATGTTTAATATAACCTGGGGGTACTCCCCATGAACTCACTGTGGTTGTCAAATTGTGTGCAGGAACCATGGCCTTGAGTTGTTTCTTCTAGCTAGATGAAGGGGAACGAGAATGGGGAAAGCACCCCTACTTCTTACTCACTTTGTCTCATCCCATTGGCAACAGCTAGACATACTGCTAGGTTCAAGAGGCTGGGAAAGACAGATTCCAGCTGGGATCTCAATATGGAAACGAGAATGCATATTTTTGGTAGGCAGTCAGCTGTCTCTTGATACTTTGGGCAACCTCTCCTTCTAGATGTGGATTTTGTTTGGCTCCCTGGCTCATTCTCAGACCTCTCCTAACCCTGTAGGCAGTAATAGGGACCCAAAGATACCCTAATCTAGTGTGACAACCAGTGAGCCTGCCCCCAAGTGCTTCTCCCCAAACATCCCTCATTGTTGTTACTCTGCAATTCAGGAGCCCATGGCTACAAGGCTTGCTAGTTCCTGGGCTGCTGTCTGCAAACTTTGAACATTACCCTCAACTACAGTAATTCTAGACCTCTCTGGAGTATTAAATATCTTGTATTTCCAGCCCCCACCCCACCTATCAAACAGGTGACTCTATCCCTACAGGAAAGAGAGAAATGGCCCTTCATAGCCACTGTGGAAGTTTCCTGCCATTTTGTGCAGCTTTCACTTCTTTGGGTAGGAATGAATTCAACATTATTATATATTTGTATTCTAATTTATCATTCTTTTGAGTATTTCATCTACTTTTCTCTCTGATGTATAGATCTTACATTTTAATGGCTTTGAAAGGTCTTGTCTCTGCTATACAAGCCCTCAAAAGCCACAAATTTTACTCTAGGGTCCTTTAATATTTCGTTTTCTTTCTCCTCCCTTCAGCAGTAAGGCTTAGCCTCTTAGGATAAACCTAGTGGTGGAAGGTTTACTAGATTCAACAAGAATTTCTCAGGAGAAAAATATAGAGGGTAATTTCTTGAAGTGTAACAATTACTTTATTAACTTCTATAATTAATTTTCTTTTCTATTCTTTTTCTAAATTATTCTGTGTAGGGTTTTGGGGGGTAATTAAACTTGCCATTTGGTCCAGAATACAGAATGGTGAGTCTAATTTGCTATAGAACCCAAGAGAAGATGGAAATTCCTCAGAAATCTGGGCCTGAGCTTGTTGCCTGTGGAGGTCATTTTGATCACTTAAAAATGCAGCTTTCTGCTGTCTGCCCAGCCTTTCCTTTGCTCACGTGCCTAACCTCTATATAAGCTATCATCCGCTCTAATTCCAGACTGGAAGTATCTTGTAAACTGGGTACTCAAAGAAGGGACTGGCCGCTGGTGAGAAATTGCAGGGCGCTAGACATGTCTTGGTTTCTGGATCATGGTATATGGATGAGAAGTGATTCCTATTGCAGTTGCTCTCGGGAGGAAGAGGGTAAGCAGGAAGGTGCTGTATAAGTTGAATA